TTCTACTAACAGTTCATCCCTCGTGCAGCTCATCATGTCTTCTAAGATGGTAAAGTATTACGAAGGAAATCTTGTGAGAAAAAAAGAACTTTAAGACAGATTCTAAGGCGTTGAAAACAGCACGAGAGCAAACCGAAAGACACATCGCCCAAGGGAGGTCGTTCCTTGTCAACACGACCGCAAAGCAACCCAGGTCCGTGTTTATAGTGATCGCCGACCTTTCTTTTGACAGGTCTTCGTGTTGCTGGTGATCTCGGCCGTGGCCACAGCCGACCTTCCCAACACTTACGGGCCTCCGCAGCATCAGTCGCTGTACAAAGAGGTGTGTTCTTTCGTGATTCAAAATTCATCAGTAGAGAATAATACACTGCCTGAATTAATTAGCATGTTCTTACAAAGTATAAAGACCAATCTTACTACATGCCGCCCGATGTCTTAACAGGAAGGCCGCCCATACGACTTTTCTTACGAGGTGAAGGATGACTACGCAGGCACCGATTTCGGCCACAGCGCAGAGTCCGACGGCAACACTGTCCGTGGATCCTACACCGTCCAGCTCCCCGACGGACGCAAGCAAACGGTAACACAACAAATATCATAACAATCTGTTCACATATACTCAGTGAGTAATATTTCATCTACTAATCTGGTTGCATCCTGCAGGTGTCCTACGTAGCTGACCACTTTAATGGCTACCAGGCTGAGGTCAGCTACGAGGGAGAGGCTCAGTTCCCTCATGAATACGGTCCTGCTGTCACCTTCAAACCCCAGCCCTCCTACCAGCAACCACAACCCACCTACCAGCAACCGCAACCCACCTACCAGCAACCTCAGCCCACCTACCAGCAACCTCAACCAACCTACCAGCAGCCTCAGCCTACATACCAACAGCCTGAACCTACCTACCAGCAACCTCAACCCACCTACCAACGACCCCAACCCACCTACCAACGGCCCCAACCCACCTACCAGCAACCCCAGCCTTCGTACCAGTAAACATCACTCGTGAATGGAGCTCTGTGCCAACCAGTGCGGCCACGTATATCTACACGCCCGATAACGACATTGTCAAGTATACAAACAGTTTTTTTCATCATATCACTAACAACATGACTCAAACCGGTTATTCGCCAGTTACAGCTCGGTTTGAGTAACGCCACTTCATAACTCTAATTAGCCATAAACAAACACGCAGTTCAGTCCAAACTAGTTTTAAAGTTTACGCATCAAGGCTTTGATTAAAACTTGATTACATATGCCTCCTTCAATAATTTATCTCGCGGACTTGATTAACAAAACGCAAAATTGTTTCACATGACTCCAAAAACGTATATCAGTTTTCAGGATGTTGATACAAAATCTGATTTTAAAGATTCTACGCAGATCTTCAGGAGGTGATATTTAATCAAGGAGTATTCTCAACCATTCATCTGCTTACAACTAAATGGGCTAAATGCTCTCGTTATTTTTTACGGTGGTCATTTTCTGGTCGTTGCAACCGCGATACAGAATACATGCCGCTCCCATTCCTCTGTATTTATCACATGTTCCTAAAGTGTTTATTTTTGCTGTTACTGTTAGAGCTTCTACTTTAAGCCTGTGGGCAAGAGGTGTTGTATTCATTAAATTGCTATCTACCTACTTCTTCACTCTGTTTTCATGGCTAAATCATACTAGTTGAGATAATGACATAAAACGACAAAATAAAAATATTATAAAACAAATATGGCATTTTTCACTAAAGCTAATTCCAGACCATTTGGCTATAATTGGGACACGGCAGCTAAATGAAATTAGCATAGCATCAGGAAATCGCACGTGTTATAATGCGGTGACGCCGCTGTATGGTAATGATGAATATTCAACTTCTGTTCCCTTGATGCTTCCAAAATCTGAATGGAAAATGTACGAACATCACTCTTGGACCAGCGGTAGTCATAAATGATGCAACAATATCGTACATAAATAATGGTATAAATTAAATGTATGACACAAGCGTGCTTCGGGAAGTGCAGCCAACAGGGTAAAGTTCCGATATTAGTTTCAGTACACCAAACCGGAGAGAAAGCCAGGAAATTAAATTTTAATCGAGCCAACTTGCGACTATTGCCTGAAGTCCGAATTAAACCTGAGCGCGGGAACTTTAAAGGTAACTTTTAAAATCCTCATTACGTGACACGAGGACACTTGATCTTGCTGCCTGGTTAGCTGACGACTCTCTTTTGCTCTCTCTTTCGCCGCACATTTCTCGTTCTTCTTCCGTGTTCACCTCTCGATCTTTCTCCAATTCCCCTTTTTGTTTCTCTCTCCTTCACTCTCACTCCCCCCTCCCTCTCTCTCTCTTTCTGCCACCCACTCCTATCTCTCTACCTCAACTCTTCCCCTACCACTCTCCCTCGCACACTCATTCACTCTCCTATTCTTGCTCCTGCTCTCATTTTGGCTCTCGC